AAGTCTGAATGCTTTTCTCTACATATGGTGTTTGCTTGCTTATGGCACACATCTGATTGTTGCAACAGCTGATAAACTGCAGCAGCAGTTCACAAATAAAATACTCGCATAGCATTTTTGGTTTGGAAAAGACCGTCTGCTTTGACCGAGGGGGCCGTATGTCGGCTGTTTCACCAGTCAGACTTGTGACGTTAGGCGAATGCTGCAGATAAGAAGACATTCCTATTTTTTACTTTCTTCTCAGGTAAAGCCATTCATTGAAATTTGGATGGAAAATTTCACCACCTACGGATACCAGTGTCGTAAATTGTAGCACAGTACATTAAGACAACAATTTATACAGTTCCTTTGAAGTGCCCTGTATGTAAGATGTGCACCAATATTTTTTTGGCAATTCACTATCGATTCAATATTCTAACAGCCATTCTGGCATTTCAGTTTTGTGATACTTTATACAAGATGTATTTGTCACACTTGTTTACACTACTCTTTTCTATGCAGTTCATGCATTTTTTCCTGTATTAAGCAAGTTCAGAGTCACTGATGTCACTTGCTTTTAGTATAAATTTAGCTATTCAGTGCTCGGCTGCTATTGTAGACTTTGTGCATTATTTAATGTAGATGTCTGGTCTTGCTGACCTTGGTCACATGGCAATATTTTTTCTAGATTTTGCCAAAGTAATTCTTTTGCACGACTTGCATACAATCATTATACACTGTTGGCCCCTAAGCTGAAAGGGGGTTAGTCATTTTTACTGGCATTACTGTCCTGCAACTTGCATTTTTAGTACTTGGCATGTACTGCTTCTATGCCTTGCCATAACTGTATTTCAGTTTTAGATAATGTGTTATTTTTTTTATAATTAACAACTCTAGTGCAATACTGTGATAACATATTCTATGTTTCTGCACTTCAAAGGAAATGTTTGAGTGATATGCAGAAGTAAGCATTCTAGTGAAATACTGTGATAATATGAGGGGGCATCAAAACGTTTCTGAACTGGCATCCCTGAACAAAAACAAAACAAGTACAGCAGTGTGACACTTCCTGACAAGCTTGCAGTCTGTGCCGAAATTTACTGTGCAGGGCGAGAGTGATCTCTAGCTGTGCTTGTTTGTTCAGAAGGGATTTTACAACTTTCTCACCGTGAAACACAAATGAAAAACTCAAACCACGTCCATACATCATTTTCTGTGAAAATTGAGAAGAACACATTAGAAACTCCGTCAGCAAGCATTCGGTGACTGATCTAGGTTACACAAATCTGTGAGTGGCATGGACATTTTAAGTGAGGCTGAGAATGGCTTGAAAACAATGAATCAAGAGGATGCCCTCCAACAAACCTAACATTTAAAAATGCAGAAAAAATCCTCGTTAATTCAGTAACACTTTCTGAGAACGATTTCGGACATTGCTGAACAACTCGACATTATTTATGGTTCAGCAATATCCGAAATGCGCTTCCGACGGTCTTCGTGAAATAACATAGATTTTTTTTCGGCATTCTGAAATGTTATGTTTCTCGGAGGGCATTCTCTTCATCGTCTCCAAGGAATTCTTGGCCTTGCCTAAAATGTCCATGCCACTCACTTATACATGTTTTTACTAAATCATGGTCACCAAATGCTTGGTGAGGAGTGTGTGGTATTTTGACATGTTCTTCCCAATTCTCACAGGAAATTTGATGTAAACGTGCTGTTTGAGCTTTTTATTTGCCTTATGCGGTCAGAAAGTTGTGAAATACCTTTTAAACAAACAAGCATAGCTCGGAATTTATTTTGTCACCACACAGTGACTGGCAAGCCTGCTAGGAAGGGTCAGGTGTGTCGCACTGTGGTGCTGCATTTTCTTTTTGTTCAGTGGTGGCTGTCCAGATACTTATTGATGCCACCTCATATGTTATTTCTCTGTCTTTGCTTTTTACATTGAAATAATAAAGCTTTATTTGTTTCGAGACTTGTGTGGTCTTATCCCACTGTAGTGTAAATTAGTACACCAGTATGAAAATATACAATGTCCTATATATGTCCTAATAAAGTCCAGGAAACATCCTTTCCTGGACATCCTGAGGACGTCCTTTGGTGTTTCACTTTGGATGTCTTCTGGACATTATTCGGACATCCGCAGGACGTCCCTAATGTCCCAGTCGGGACATCCTTTGGATGTCCAGCGGATGTCTGTGTGTTGTCTGGGCCGGAAATCCTCTTCCCCCCCCACACATTTTTTCGCGGCCGCCGCGGTCGTTTCGAAGACGGTTTCGTAATCGCGGCGCTGACAAGTGTACGACGCACGAGCGACAGGAATGACTCAGGAGCTTCTAGCAAAGACTGCCGGAATGCCCGTAGCGCGCCCACCCTTGTCTTCTCCTTCCTGGAAAACGAACCGGCTGTCGAACCAAGGGGTAAGCCACGGTATGGTGCCTGGCTGGATCGCGTCTTCGACTGGTGTGTTTAGCGTCCTATCCCGCCCATACATCAAAAGTGGTCCCAATGTGGCAACAAATGACGCGAGTGTCATGCTGTTGCCTGTCGCGATCCTGGCGGTTGGCCGTAGAAATGCTGGCGAAAAGCACGAGCGAACGCGAGTGTCGCTTTCGTCGCGGCGTCCCTTCAGGCGTCCCAACTTCCGGCTGCTTCAGCTTCCGTGAACTGTCACAGTGGGAAGCGACCTGCAGCAGAACAGGCGTCTGTTACTCCTACCACAACTGTTGGGGCGCCGCCAGGGTCGCAACAGGCGACAGCATGACACTTCTATGACGTCATCAGGCGGAAATCGAGGGACCACTTTTTTGGCCGCGGTAAACACACCAGTCGGAGACGCGTTCCAGGCACCATAGCCACGGTGCCATTCGTGCCATTCGAGATCAGGCGAGATGCCCCGCGAGAAAGGAAGTCACGTGTGTGCGCCGAGCGCTGGCCCGGCTGGCTTCCGGTTGAATCCGCCGAAATCGTCGGTGCGACTTTTCTCGGATCCAGATCGAGATCTGGAGCGGGAGGTAACCCAAAACGACCAGTGAAACACGTCCGTATCGGTCCCGATCGGCCAGGGAAATTGGCTCCAGAAAAGTCGATCACGGCGCGCTCCAAAACGACCATTGGAATTCGCCATAAAGCAATACCAGTCGTTTATTTTGGTTTAGTTTTCAACGTTGCCCTTCAAACAACTTCTTGGAGGAAATAAACGATTCCAGTTCCCAACTTGCTGATCGTCACCGAAAACCACTAGATCAAAAACTCTTAGGACCTTGAGCACGTGGGAAGCGCAATATAGCACTGTGAAGTTACCACCTGTGCAACAGGCGCAACGCTGGCAGTGCAAAAACGCGGATAAGACGGAAAATCTGCACAAACAAGTTTTGGGATTGTGCTCCAAGAGCTCCTAAAACGTGCCGATTTAGTGGTTTTTCGAGGACACGCTACAAGTTTCTATTTAGAATCACATGTTTATCTTCACAAATTAAAAAAAAAAAATTTAGTTAATTGATGAACCCGCCGTGACTATTCTGGCCGTATAACCTACCAGCACAGATCAATTAATGTAATTTTCCCGGCTTAAAAAAAAAAAAAAAAGTCTGTAAAGCTGTCACAGAATTCGAGCGTTTTGTGTGTTTGGTTTTTGAATTGATTTTTGTTCTTTTTGTTCTTGCCGTCTATTCGGCTGGCCCGGCGCATTGAGCGGCAGGGTTCGTTCCTCGTCCGTTTTTTTTGTTTTTGTTTTATGACCCCCTGGCCCCGCGCGTTGAGCGGCGGGGTTCGGGCACCGTCCGTTTTCTGTTTTATGACCCCCTGGCCCCCCTCGTCCCGAGGACGATTCTCGCGAGGTTTTTAGCTGGTAGCGATGGGCCCCTCGGCTTCCCGGAATGTTGGGAATGGTTTCCAGATGTCCGAGTGGGGGTGCGCTGTATGGTTCGCTGGGATAGGCTCACTGCGGGGCCTGCCAGTGTGACGTGTGTTTTTGTTGATATGTATTTTGTTGTTGAAACTGTTGAAAAACAATTATTTTTTTTTTTTGAACGAGGGAGAGTGGTGTCTGCCGCTGGAATTTGGGAAAGTGCGGACCTCGGCTTGATTCCGAGCCGAGTTGGCGGAGTCAAGTTAGTGTGCGCGAAGACTTGGCCCGGGGGTGTACGCAACGCGAAGTTTGGGGCGGGACTGCGGTAGCGACGGAAGGCTGAGCACGGGAGGAGTTTGGGCTCCCTGGTCCAAGCGCTGCTTTGGGCGCCCAAGTGTGTGTGCGTTTGTGGGTGAGTGCCTGTGCCGAGGAGCCACGCCGACAGCACCCAGGCGCACATCGACCTCCCAGGTTCGGTCGGCATCGCAAGAGGCCGCGTCACCCCCATCACCCACCGGACTCAGGTTCGCGCCACTCACCCCCCATATTACTTTGTATAGTTTATCCCTCCTTTAGTTTTTTTTTTGTTCCTTTGAGTGCAAGTACTTAAATTGCAGAAAACTGTCTTTCTGAACGAGCGCTGTGTTTTTCATGTACAGATATAATCATACAACATAAGTCGCGCCTCAGCGCTTACTCTATGGGGCGGTCTGTTGTGTCTTGCTGTTGGAAGTTTTGTTTGTTTTGTTTTATGCATTGTCTAACGGATTTTCAGTAAACTATTTTTGTGGCTGAAAAGAAAAGAGTCCGTGTTGTTCATTCTCCCCTCACCGTGAGTCCGTCACCAGGGCGTGGACCTATCGTCCGGTCAGCGGTCCTATCAAAATTATAAATTTGTTTGCATAGGATATTATTTGGATCTTTTATTGTTAATTTTCACCGAACCTGTGACAAAAGCCTAAAAACACCCTGTATAGTTTCATACCACGGGCAAATCTGGAATGGATTAGTAAAACAAGTTTTTATATTTATCACCAAATAATAAAACAAACTGAATCGCGTGCTCAACACATTTAAGTTAATTTTCAATATTTGCCATATATCCACATCTCTCATTCTAAAACTACATTGGAGACCAGAGAAAAAAAAGTAAGCAAAACAAGGAACATGTATGGAACATATGTTTTATCCATAAGAGAGCATTCCCAGATCACCTAGCAAATGTACATTGCATCCATTTTGCTCTTTTCAGTTCCAGTATGGTCACTGGAAATTGCATGGCATTAAATACTACAGGTGCCTTGGCTGATGCAACCTTTTGCAAATAAAAAATAAAGTACAGAAATCACTCAGCACTTCCGAAGACAAGATACAAAGTAAGGACCATAAAAGATATTCCACCCTCTGTTTAAGCTGATCCCATTATAAATGAAAAACATAACAGTAAATCCCTCAAAGTCGGTCGAACTGATATTAAAGTGAGAAAATGCTGTATGGGGGCTTCATTAACAAATATATCGACACTTAAAACAGACCAACAAAACCAGGTACAATCAATCTATGCCGACCGCAGAAGGCAGTACTCTAATACAATGTGCACAATACTGTTCTCTTTACTGGAAAGTAACATCATAAATACTACGCATTGACATTGTGTTTCTTTATTTTGCAAGCTTATCAGTGGTTCCAAAACAAGGAAGGCCCCCCCCCCCCAAGAGAAATCGCCCCTTCCGGATATTCCAGACACACTCGGGGAATGATTCTGGGATAGAGGAGAGAACTACTACTCTCCAGTTGTTTGCTCGTTCGCTCCAACCTCTCTCTCCCTCCCCTCCTCTCTCCCCCCAATCTTTCTCTCTCTCTTCCCCCCCCCCCCCTCCTAAACACTTCCAAACCCCCTTGAAGATTATCCTCGAGCAGGATGTCCTAATGCCCGATTCTAAGAACCCCATTTTATGTTCAGCATGGAATGTTCCCCCTTGTCACAAACTAGTGCACATCAATTTATGTAAGTCAGCCAAGAACCGTTCTGCCCAATTTAGCTAGCCTGTCAGTCTTCTCAGCAACTAGATTTAATTTTCCGACTAATTATTGCCATCAATATTCTACACTATACAGATCCCAGTTTCACGTGTGGTGCTCATGGTTCTTCCCACATTTCTGCTGCACCCTAAATAACTTATAATTTCTATGTGCAATATACATAAAAGTATGAAAGTATAATTTACAAAGAAATGTATAATTACTTCAAGCCTACACCCGAAATTAATTGTCACTCTCTACCTCCTAGGGAAAACTGTGGTGCATCGGAGGACAAGTAAAAAAGAAGTGAATTTTGCACTCGCAGTCAAAAAACACAAGAAACGAGTAGAAGTCAACTTATAGCAAGTGAGCACAGGCCCTAAATTATAATAGTATTTCTCAAAAAAAAAAAAAAAAAATTTTTAAAGGTTTATAGTGCTACCTTTTAAGCAGCCCAGAAACCTGCCAAAATAATGCTGCGTGTGTTCCAGAACCACATTGCAAGTTCATGCAAAGAAGGGCAAGATTCTGCCTCACCAAACCGAGCCCTGACAATGGCTTCACGATGTCACTTTTTGCTCCATAGCGAAATACCTAAGAGCTGCCCATTTCTTGCTTGAGTATTGAGAGGCAGTACACTCCACAAACAGAGCATGGGGTGGCTGCATTTTTCCCCCTGTGCCATAAGTCTTTCGGTGGTAACCTGAATCCCACCTACAACTGACACAGTGGTTTGGACGTGTCCACAACATTCACACGTTTCTAGGCCTGCACTGCGATCCAGCACTGGATGCCAATGTTCATGATCCAGTAGTGCATGCCGCGGTGAAACTAGTGCTCCAGAGTGACGGTGCAGTGCTTGGGGATGTATGTCAGTGCCCCGCACATCACAGTTGCTTGAGGGACATCAAGCCATGGACACTTGGCCCCAATTCGTCTGGTTGGCTTGCCTCAAGTCGTCCGGCCCCGAACGGTTTTTGCAGGATTCGGGGCACGCTGCCTGGGTCAGCCTTGGAGGCGATCTTCCTCCTGGACGCGGAGTGCTTCTGCCAGTAGCTCGTTTATGTCGGTGTCCGGAAAGTTCTGGGGAAAGAGACAATATGTTTGTTCACAGCCTCAAGAAGGACACAAGAACAGCCCAGAAGCTTAGAACATTGTAAACAGTATAGACAAGAACAGGCCAGAAGCTTACAACATTGCTTGCAGTATGGATCAGCATCAGCCCAGAAGTTCAGAAACATTGCAAGAATATTATGCAAGCCAGCAACATCTTTGAATTGGTACCCTATGCGGCTAAAGCCATAAATGCGCACCTTTGCTAAGAATCAGTTTTTCTTAGTACATCCTGCTTTATTGGCAAAATAGACAAAGTGTGTCAACAAAGATATCGAAAAAGCTGAGAGGATCCAAAAACTAAGTGTACAATTTATTTTCTCCAATTTTAGGTATCCTATTCAGTAAAGGATACAATATGTAAGAGTGGGCTTGAATCACTTGAGGTCAGACAAATAGTTTCTAGGTTCAACCTTTATAAAATCTGCAATAATAAATTCAGCTTACCGTAATATCACGAGTCATCACCCATCCCCGAGTCATCCCGCACCCCACTTTTTGGGCGAATATCGATTTAAAAAAAAACACCAAGTGATCGCTCACCCCTACAAATGCCCCAAAGCAGACTCCGCGATCAGCAAACATTCCTCCTAGCCGAAAGACACAGCCATGGACCTTACAGTTGGAGTATGTCCGTGGCAAAGTAAAATGAAAAGGGAAAAACACTTCTCTTTGTTTACACACTTCCTCCCCAATTTCTGTGACTCCTAAGTCGTAGTACATAAGTGAAAAAAGATGGAGATAACAGAATGAAACTTTGTTTGCTTACAAAATAGTTCGTTCAGACAAAAAAACAACAACAACGCTGGAAAGATAACACAAGAAGTAACCCATTCAGGGATTGTGAGGTGAGCGAATGCCCCATATCCTGGAATGTAACCGCAGACTGTAAGGTCAAAGTCCGTCTCCACCGAAGTAAGGTCATTGCGAACTCGCTCCTTCTCCCAGAACGGCGCGACCACAGTTGGTAAGGTTGTGCAATGTTTATGACTAAGCCAACGGGTAAATAAAAACTTGCTGGAACATCACAAGAGATGTTTGTAGAGCACCCCATTGCAAGCTCCATGTTCGTGGCGCCGTCTACGCCACGCAGCAATGCCGCCTCAACCCGCGTTGGTAGGACGCTGCGCACAGACGCACATGTCTGCACCAAACAAGAAAGTTACGCAAGAGCCTGCTCCTTGAGCTTGAGAAGGAGCCCAACTTGGCCCGACACCAAAGTATTTGCCAACGTGGTCGCCGACTTTCCCGCTTCCCCAGCATCGCACTTCGTCGCATCTTTCGCTCGCTCGCTCGTTGCACCTGGTTTTTTTTCTACTTTATTGTTGACTTTTTTCCTTACTAATGATGAGAACATAGCGGTGTTAAAAATGTGCTTTCACGGAAGAAACGTTTGCACTGTATGCTGATCGGTGGTGTTCATCGCGCTTATGCGAGTAATGGACTTTGCGATAGTAATAAATCTTCTCATGAGAATTTCTTCCATAAAACAATGAAGCTAATTCGAGTTTTGAGTTTAATGTATCTCTTGTGTAGCTGCGCTAAATACGTACACGAAAATGGGCATTTTTTTTTAGCTTCTTCTAAACATTTTGTGCTTACCTTTGTGCTTTTTTTATGAATTTCAGGTGGCAGGGGAGTGGGCGATGACTCGGGATATTACGTAGACCAAAACAAATGCACACTTCGCCATCTACTGAACCCTCAGCAAAGCTGAACCCCCAAAAATGGCAGACTATAAGCTCCTAAAGATGAACCTTAATTCTTTTTAGTTTTTTGGGAATTTATGACCCTCAACTGCTTAATTGTTGTCTTCAAAACCAAACTTGTTGCCTTCAAAATAAATTTCCTAGACACAAATGAAAAGGGAGCAAAATTAAAAAGAAGTCAGTGCTACCATTCGATGGAAAAACCAAAAACTAAGCCAAGAACGAGCCTGGTTTGTTCAAAGCAACCAAGTGTGTAAACCGGGGAAAACCGATGAGCCATCCTGAGTGGCTTGGGGATGACCCCTTGTTGACAACCTAGGTTCGTCCAAAATGGTTAAGAGCTTAAAATATCCTTTTTTATATGGACAAGGGATGACAGAAATTAACCGACCTTCAAACCATTTACAAGCTCAAAATATTGACTCTTTTGAATCATGGGACAAGAACTGCATGCAACCGAGCACTCCTCGGCACCCTCACCTGTAGCAGCTTGATGTTGGAGGGGAAGTCGCCACTCATAAGCCTGTCCCTCAGCCTCCTGGACAAAAGGGAGGTCCCATCATGAGGCACCAGTTGCCCTCATGAGACCAACATGAACAAAACACAGACACAGAAAAAAGACCAACATGTACAAGACTCCTACACTGATAAGAGACCAACATGGACAAGACATAAACACAGGGGTGAAATAGGTTTTGGAGCAATTTGTGGAGCAGAAAAACCTGGATTTTGGAGCAGCTTAGGCGCAAAAAAATTATTGTTTTGGACCAGCAGCAGTTTATGCATTTCGAAGCAACTTCGAAGCACAAAAGTCTGCAGTCTGGAGCAGATTAGGAGCAGAAAATGTTAGAGCAGCTTGTCAGTAATTTAAATTATAAAAAATCTGATATAAATCACATAAATCAGATTTTTCTTTTTTAATCGTTATTTTTGTCCACCCTGGTTCCAATAAGTCATCAGCGCCGATACGCACCGGCATAGACAAGACATCAACATAGACAAGAGACCATGCATAGACATGACACAACAATAGAAAAGACAAATATGAACAAGACACCAAGATTGATAAGAGACCAACAAGGAACGACACCAACATGGATAAGAAACTAAAGTGTAGTTCACTCAGTGCCATATTCCAAAATCCTCTAAGAATGTCCATCCAAAATGAAGAGATAAATGGCGAAAAACATGACGTGGGCAACCTTTGAGGATGCGACAGGAAAACTTTACCAAAAATTAGTGGTAAACACATGGGCACCCGCTACAAAGCACTTGATACAGGAACTGATACCACAGATTGTGGACATAGCAAATTTATGTTTCACGATGCGATAAACACACGGGAATTCGCTATGGACTCGTGTCACGGGAAAGAATACCGGAGGTTGCAGACGCAGCAGATTCGCGTTTTATGGTGCGAAGGACATGCGAGAACCTGCCGCGAACTTGCATCTCACAGGAACCGATGCTGTAGATAACAGATGCAGCAAAGTCACGTTTCACGGCGCGATAAACACGTGGGAACCTGCCATAAACTTGCCCATCACGGGAACCGGTATCGTGCTCGCAGAACGCGGAAGAAATCTGGGAATCCGCTAGGGGAACTTGCGTCCGCAGATTGTAGACGCAGCAGATTTGCATTTCACAATGCAAATACATGCAGGAACCACTCGCATTTTACGGGAACCGATATTGCGCGCGAAAATCACAAACAAAACGCGGGAGCCCATTAAGAACTTGCTTGTCAGATCAAATGTACTGGTACCGCAAATCGCGCACTTGATGTGATTTTTGGTCGGATCGGACATCGCATGACGTCACACGGAAATAATCAAGGGGGGTAGGCAATGTTTCGGAATATTTATGTTACGGATATTTAGCCAGAAAAACGGGATAAGCAATATCTCGAGGGACGGCGTCCTTACGGGATCTTGCTGTAGCCTCAACCATCGTGGCATGCATGCCATTCAGTGAAGCAGTTTCGGGTTTTATTTTTGTCAACGACTATTTTATTGTCCGCTAATTTTTATCTTGTTCCAATGACTGTGTCCCCATTGCCCTCAGTGTGTCCTTGTTTAGGGTTGCCTAAAGTCTAGGGTTGCCCTCCTTTTATGCCCACAAGTTTAGAGGTTCAAAGCTCCCAAAGTCTTGAATGGGTTTCGCCCATTTTTCTGTTGGGGCCATCCGGCTTACGGTAACCTTGATTTTCTTTTGTGTGCTTTTCCGTTTAGGGTCGTTGTCTCAAACAATTTGAAGTACGAATATTTTTTAGTAGAGTGACGTCGGACCATTTATCTCAGGAAATGGTCTTGATTTTTAATGTTGTTTATGTTCAATGTTTATGTATTTTCTTTATTGAAAGCCCAGGTTGTATATTCAAGTGTTCCGTTTTTATTTTATTGAGCGTATTAATTCATGGGCTGTACCTGCTATAATGCCGAAAGTTTCAGCGCTGCAGGTTTTTTTCTGTAAATAAATAAATAAAAGAATGAAAAAAGATTCTCCTATTCAGGAAATAATGTCACAGACATAAAAATAAAAACAAAACCTGAAAAAAAAAAAAAAAAAAAGAACCCCAGGTATGTTTAGTACTCATCATGTGCATGCCATGCCAGTCTTTCTATGGAAGATGTAACACATTTTGATCCTGTGGCCACCGTGCATCACCTCTTTTAGCTTTCTCCCATCTGAAATCCTTCAACTCAGATGGGAATCCTCCCAAAATCTTTTCGTGTAGACGCCATGTTCGCGGAGTGTATCTCCTCGCCACCTCAGGAGGAAAAAAAGAATAACTACATAGAAACTCAAACTACAATGTCTAATCTAACCACCAGATACATTGAACATAAGCACAAATCGACCGGACCTGCACGCGAGACCAGCAAATAACACTGAAACTAAAACAAGCCCCACTGATGTGCAGTCGTCAATGTTCAGGGCTGATTTGATGAATCATTGCTGTCAGAACTAAAATATGATGGTCCGACATCGTCTTTCGACTCGCTTGTGCTAGTGTCGTCAACGAAATCGACCGCAGATGCGTTCGAATCTCAAGACTTCAAACGCTTCCGAGGAGCCATGCCGCGTGGAGTGTGCCTTTCCTCTGCTGGGCATCCGATTATAACAAACTAGAAACTGAAACTAGAGTGTCTAATCTAACCACCAAGCACAAACTGCCTGGACTTTCAGACGAGAAAAGAATATAACATGAAAACCAAAACCAAAACAAGCCTTCCCGACATGCACTTGTCGATGTTCCGGGCTTTTTTGGGCAAATTATCGCTGTCGGAACTAAAATATGATGATCTGAGATGATCTCCCAACTCACTCGTGATAGTATTAGCAACAAAATCGATCACAGATGCCCTCGAATCGCGAGACGTCAAACGTATCTGAGGAGGCATGCGGTGCAAAGATGATGCCATGCTTGCAGCCCGGACAGCTCTTCCTGGGCTGTCGTGTTTGGTTTTAATAAATCGCCTACTCATGGAAAAAAAAAAAAGAACTGCATAAAAACTCGAAACTAGTGTGTCTTCTCTAACCACCAGATGCCGCAATTTGTCCAGAAACGCTTCAAAGGCTTTGTAATGTGGCTCGCAAATCGTCGATCACGTCTGATCGATTTTGACGGTCGCGGTAAGGAAAGAGTTAGGGAAATATGCGGCAGGGGAAAACATTTTTTAAAATTATTTACAACTGACCCTTTCAGTATGACATCCCTTCTCCAAACAAAACGTCAGGGGCATTGCTATAGATGAACACATGGCACTGGATTTCGCTTCGAAAGGATAATCGTTCAAACAATGAATGTGGGGCTTAAATATCTAGAAACAATAGATAAAGGAAGTCTAGATTTCACACTTATAATAATAAAAGTTTGATGAGAATCGGCAGTTTCTGAAATATTTGCGACGGCAACGACGGCCCTCGAGAAGTCTTCAGATGCCTGCTGCAGACGACGACCGTATGCGGAATAACTGAGGTACGCCGTCTGCAACACTTTCTATCGTTTTCATAATGATACGATTCTGACCTTGCATTTCTTGGATGTTCTTGCAGATATGTGGTGCATGACAACACACTTAAAAGAGCCTAGTTAAATAAGCTAATTCACTTCTTTTAAACCACTAAGATCAGCAAACGACAGAAATAATGCGTGCAAGAGTTGTTCACTTTTAAATAATTGAAAATCACAAAAACAGAATTTTTGAAGGGCTAACAAAAGTTTCCCAAATATTTCATACATACAAAAAGAAATACATTCTAAAGAAACCTTGATAGTTGCATTATACATAGTCTAAAGTATATGCATGCCGAATTGGGCTGTGATAGGACAATATTAGGAACATCAATTCTTGTGCACAAAGCGTGAAGATGTCTTAAAATTATTTGTTATATGTTGTTAACAATTTTTCACGAAAAACAGAAGCTACAGTAGACTGTGACGAAGAGGAGATGGCTCGATCTACTTCTCAACATAAATGTGATGATGGGCGACGCCACAATCTGAACAACTGAGCACAGAAAAATGGCTCAAATTTATGCCGTTCAGGGTTGCCAGGAGGCTTTCAAGTATGCATTTGACTAGGGTAGTTTTGCAATCATAACCTGCACTTATTGATTTTATACATATAAAGATTCAAAGATAATAAAACATGAAAAAAACCAAATCATACTTCTTGACATTTTTTGACCCGCATCTTCCCTTAAGGGAAGATGCGGGTCAAAAAACAGGTCTTGGAGCTTTTTTTCTTATTTTATGACCAAGCCCAATGAAACTGCACAAGCTTGTTCAGCTTTTTGCACTAATTTCATATATCTGGTCATTTTCTCAGTCAGTAGAATTGTCCTCAAAATAAATAAAACTTGCCTGCCTTTGTTTGGAAAAACAATAGAAAAACAACTGCTCAACAAAATATTCTTTTTTACACGTGGCTAGATACAACGAAGTGTAGAGAATACAATGTTGGAAGCACTTTTAAGATAAACTCATTATATTAGTGATTTTACCACACATTGAAGTTCACTGCTCAATGCATGGCTAACAAGTAATAAAGCAAAATATCAAATATAAATTTTTCTAGACCTATATTGAAAATTCTGCTCTCAACATTGTATGCTTCACACGTTCAGCTACACATTTCAGGAACAGTTATTTTTCTATCGGCTCTAGATACTGAGATATCCCTTCTGCAAATTCTCAACGAGTCCAAAATTTGTGTTTTGTGAAAACAATGTTTTAGAGTCAACTTCAACGCACATTCAGCCTGCAGAGATATTATAAAGTGATTTATAGCTCAAATATTCATCCACGAAATTATAAGCCTGGTAGATTCAGAAGAACCACAGCCATCGCCATTTTCAAAATAATGCAGTATTAGGAAGTTTTTGGCTCCAAAAGACCCATGTCCCCCCTTAACAAGAACAAGACACCAACATAGAGAAAAGACCAACATGAACAAGACACTAACATAGATCAGAGACCAACACAGAAGAGAGATAACTCACGCCAGCATGGCATAGCAGATGTAGATGAGGAAGCCAAATCTTTCGGGATCCGCGAAGAGAGAGTCCCAGATGCGCAGCACGTCTGCGAGGGAGAGGGTTGCATGCCTTACGGGATAAGGGTAATGTCTGCAGTCCATTTCCACAGGTCTCTGGTACAGTCAAGGACGACGTGAAGAGGCTCAGGTGAGTGCGTGGCTTAGAGGGCCTGCTGTTCTATCTATCAGAAAAAAGCTTGACCATTATCGGGGCTTCAGCGGCTGTTCAACTTTTGTCCTCACTCCCTGCTCGACCGGCTGTTGCTGAGATAATGATGCTTTCAGTGCCGATACAGTGAGAGCTCATTAAATTGAACTTCAATAATTCGAGTTTATGAATAATTCAACTGTACGATTTGGTCTGGCCAAGCTCCATAGAAGTCTATGTATAAAAAAGCCTGTTAATTCGAAAGCGAGCAGGTTCCGCCACGGAGAATTCGAACTATGTACCACCGTGCCGGCAGCTTTGCGTCTGGCACACGGCCAGAAAACGCACCCGCTGCCTTCACACGAAACCGCGTTGCCTCCGAAACGGAAAGAATGGCAAGAGAAGGCGAAATCGGGAAAAATCTACCGGCGCGGAGGCGGCCAGAAGGCAGCGGCGGCTGCCTCCTCTCAGTTCTACGTGCACGTGACCTCCGAGACTCCTTGCCTCCCAAGTTGCCTGCACCGATCTCCGAGGCTTTGCAAACCTTGTCGTGTAGGAGCTGTTGTTGAGTGGCAGATGGTGCGGCAAGCACCAAAAAACAACGAATCAAGTGCGTCGCAGCTGCGCCGCTGCACTTGCAGTCAAAAAGCGGGGATTGGCAACGCTTACAGGAAGCATTCTCAACGCTTAGAAGACGAATCGGGGGCTTTGCCACCTTCGCCAATGTATGTTCAACTACTGTCTCGGCAGTCTCCGTCGGGTGTGCTCGTCTGTTTTCAGCTTTGGAGGTACTGGCCTGCGCGCTTCTTTGTGGTGTTGTTAAGCCTCGGCTAAAGCACTTTTCGGCGGAAATCGGTGGTGTAGCGCCAGACCCAGAGCTGCGACTTGAAGATGGCGTGTGCCCGCGGCAAACACCGTGCCAAAACACTGCAAGAGAAGAGTGACATCCTGCGGGAAGTGGACGCCGGACTCTTGTCTAAGCAAAAAATTGCGAAAAGCACGGCATCTACTTAAATAAAGAATAAGAGACGCCTTGGCGGCAGAAGTTTCCAACGAAAGGAAGTTTTCTTACTTTCGTCACCAGAAGGCGAAGAGGAGGCCTTCGCCACATTCGCTCGTTAGAGCAAAAAGTGCTAGCTCTCGCCTTCAAAGAAAAAAAGGCAGACTACAATCACGGACTTTTTGAAGCATTAAATTGCTGACATGCCCTACTGCCTCCAAATCGCAGTGAGTGTACTGTTGTTCTTCACTTTTGTTTGTTCGAACTTTCATTTATTCGAACTGAGGCGGCTTCCCTTTGCGATTCGAATTAATGAGCTCTTACCGCAATAGGCGAGATCTAACATGGCTGAAACCACTAAGTCATCAAGTTAAGCGAGATCGGTTTTAGGGCGTCCGATAACAAGTTTGAGGAATAAAAGATGATAAGCGGGCGTGATCTTATCACGCAACGCACAAACACTGCACTCTCACCTCTACGATCCTTCGCTCTCACCTCTTGTATAGGAACGCCGCAAGCTTGATTAAAAAACAGCACCAGAATCGGCGTTGACTGGGCAATCATTTTCCGATCAAGAGGGGAGTAATGACAAAAATCAAACAGCCGCTGAAATGCCGCTCGTGTACACAATAGACTCAATTATAACTCAGCTTTCTTCCATTAGATAGCCATAGAAATCTTTGAAGGCACACGCTCGCCTGGCCTTTTTTATATTGTCTGCAAACGTAAATCATTGTATACGTGCGATTTACAATATACATCCAATTCATATTGGATGGATGGCTGGACAGATACGGCTGAAGCAAGGAATCGGGTGGCGGCTCACGCCACCTGGCAATGAAATAGCCACGGCTGTCAATCAAGCTTTTGCCTTCTGCTAAATCTAGCGTCACCGTGATCTTTGGCGCAGCATGGTACAGCGTGGCACAATTTTGGTTGATTTCACGCTTTTGGCGCCGCTAGGCGGAAAACATTGTGAATGCATAAAAGTGGCCCAATTGGTCCAGCTGTCCCACCCAATTATTTCAAGCCCACTGTAAAAAAATGATGCATAAAGAATCAAGAAATATATGCATATTGGAGGTGGTCCAGTGATACCCATTAATACTCCCAGTGTGGTCTCTTGCCATAAGTGGTGGCAAGCAATTTCAATGAATGCAATCTATGAATATATGTTGCAGTACCGCTACTTATGCTTGCAGGCGATGACGCGGCTCTTCAATCGCACATTTCCACATCCCATTGATTTCACGAATTCACTCCCGTGTCAAGGCCCCGGTCATTTCCACACTGAAAACTCGGTGAAACTGCGCTGACCTGGTAGAGGGAAGTCCTGGGACAGCAGGAGCATGATCCAGCGGAAGCTGTAGTACTGTGGCTCCACCTGCAGCTGGCGCAGCCGCAGGTGCAGGCGGTCATCCCTGCGCTTTAGCAGGCCCATCAGCCGCTGCATCATGGCCCCAATGCCGCATGCCGAGTCGTCCAGTGTCTTGAGGAAAAAGTCCCGGATCTCCGCCATCAGGCTCGTGAAACAGAAGAAGCAGTCTGCCTCCGCATGCTCTGCAAGGGGTTGTGGCATCGTTCGGAACTGGTTGATTCAACTATACTCGCCGACAGTGGGAAAATGGCAGGGAAGTTCTCTCTCAAGCCCAGCCTCAAGCAGGCGCTTGCTGCCTTCCGCCTTCTTTGACTGCGCGTGCACGCTCAAGGCTAGAGAGACGTCAAAGCGGAGGTAGGAAGCTTACTCTGGAGGCGGAACAACTGAAGGACCCCCCTGCTGTCCTCATCCTGTCAGCGACTACACCGGTTCGCAAGTCTATCCTCTGGTCGCCGCCATCTCGCTGCCATTGTGTGTAGATTGTACGAGAGTCGAGTCTTGCTAAGGTGTGCTTGCGGTTGCCAGACTGACACCAAAACTCCTCCACCCACAACTGCCAGGCTAGTACCCAAACTACTCCACCCATAGTAGCCCCCCAAGCTGGCACCCAAGCTACTCCACTCACGGTTGCCAGGCTGGCGCCCAACCATCATCCACGGTGGCCCGAATCGCTTCTGAAGCATGGTTGCTTGCATATGTCTACATTGAAGGAGGCTTTATGCATTTCAGCAACTAACGCTATACAGCATACGTGGGTCCATTGGATCTAACCCACATTGAATAGATCATAAGGATCAACTTTGTATGCTATGAGCATGTAATTCATCGCTAAAGTGAGGTTAGGTGGTCAATTTGTTTCGTAAAACAATTGAAGGACAAACCTGTCTTAATCAGAAATTGGCAATACAAAACAAAATTTTTCAATTACTTTCCTTTCAAGTCAAAAGGAAAAATGCTGTGTGTCATTAAGACGTTAAAGTTAAACACAAAAAAAAAAAAAAGATTAAAAAAAAAATTTATTGACCTTTTGAATGCTTATATAATCCACAAGAATTATCCTTCGCTTTATCTCGAAAAAAGCTTAGCTTTCTTAAGCCATTGGTAAATTTTGGTTTTGATTTGGAACCTTTGATTGAGGCACGTTTTTCCTTCAATATTTTTTTGCAACAATATAAAAGATTCTCCAGCTGTCATGGGCGAGGTCAGACTGGTTAAACAGGGGGTATGTTTATTCCAACATATAAAACACAGCATGCGAGTCGCACCGTCTCAGGTGACGATCTGGCGAGAGAGGGGGGGGGGGCCCCATGGGAGCTTACAGCAGTCCACGAGGACAGGGTTGCCAAGCGGCGGTGGTGGTGGGAGAGATAACGACAGTCCTGAGTATTGACAACGGCTATTCTCACTTTTATGGCAAGTTACAGTGTAATAGCATGCAAAGCTGACTTTAGTAATTTTTTCAGAGGTTAGATTTATTGGGCCCACACCGTACAACAGAACAGAGCCATTTTTCTACAGCGTGTTCCCACAAACAATTTACTGTGCTTCACTCACAGCAAAAAGAAACTATGCTTGACTGAACGCTCATTCTCTGCCCAAAAATAGTGCTAGCAGTCCATACCAAAAGGTGAAATTTCAGCACTAGCTGTTATTGCATTCAAAAGTTGTAAGTGATCTTCTGAAAAAGTTAATGAGAAAGTGGGGCTCGCTTTGCCACTTTTCGGTAAATGGGGCCATTCAGCTCCATGTATTCGAGCACTCCGTTGGCCGCTAATTTCCTAATTAAAATTTCACAAAAACCGCTTATAACTTTTAACACAGAAGGCGTTGTATCAGCCAATTTCTATAGAGTTCTGTAATGTTTTGCAAGAATGTTTGGCTGTAATGGGGGACACCGAAAGGCCTTACGCCCACAGGGAACCATATAAAGAAATTGCAAACGACCACCCAAAGTGTGCTGCGATTGACAGCGGTAGCTGCTGCATTGCGGAAAGTGATGTTGAAGGACATTTGCCTTCAGCCAGTGTGCTGTACAATGTTTGCAACAGGTTCTTTGCGTTCAGCGGAATTGACGTAAGGTAGATGTAGGATGTAGATGTGTGCCTTGGTGTAACGATTGTGCGAGAAGTTACATGCGTTGAAGGAGACACAGATGTGCATTTCATTTGGCTGAAATGCTCTTTTAAAACGAGGGCGCCTGTGACCGTGCCTGTGGTAGAAGTGAAAGTATACATGTGAGCTGCTCTGCAGAGGTGCGGAGAGCATACGAGAAGGGAACCTGGGCGGTGGCAGTGGGGGAGGTGAGGGAGCGCGTCCGCACAGCCAGTGCCTCCTATATAATGTCAGTGTGTGGCAAAAGGTCCCTTTGATGCCATCGGTTCCACCGCTCGTGGTGACTGCACAAGGGCGCTAGGCTAACAGGGTACATCATCAACATTATGCGTGGTGTGCCCCTGCTTAGTCGCGTTTGCAGATGAGCTGAAAGAAGAAGAAAGCGTTGATCCTCTGCAAACATCTCAATCTTTCCGCTTTTTTTTTTTTTTCGCCACGTAACAATGCGAAGCAGGCGTACTTGCAAACACTATCTATGGTTTCAGTTATTCCCTCTCTTAAATCTAAGTTCTCTACGTATGTGCTGCGTTTACGTCGTCTGCTTCGGCTGTCCAATGTTCGCTTTGCGTATGGCGCTCGGCGTTCAGCATAGTCTCCCTGTGCTTCGCCGCAAGGATTTGTTAAAATGACCGGTTGTTGTGTGTTCCGGTGAAACTCGGATGACAAAAAAAGAAGACTGTACGTATTTCTTTTCATGAAGTCCCCGCTGACATTGATCCGACGAAAAAACTGGAAACCGACGCGACGTTGTGCTACACTACGGTATGCAGCGAGCACCAAATGCGTGCCATCTGCTTCTTCCGAAATAGGCCAATCAGTGTCAGAATTTCCTCATGGCCACATGTTTTTCAGAATCTACAGGTGGTACGGCACTGGCATACCACCTGTGTATTTGGAACAACCAGAAAGAATGAAAGGATGCATGGCATTTACCCAATCTTTCTATTCAAACAGCCGTTTCAGTGGCGCTCCTCGTGGCAAAACGTTGCACTTTCAACGACGGCGGCGGCTCATTGTTTTCTAACTGTTTTGCCAGGCACTAAAAGTGGGGAGCAGGCACTGGCACGGTACAACCATGTGGGTATTTTGCAACGGTGGCAGCCAGAGGGGTGAGGTGGGAGGAGAAAGGGAGGGCGTCGCCAGAGCAAGAACAGCGGTGGCCTACAGGGGAAGAGCGGGTGGAGCGAGATAGAGAGAGAGCTTTGCTGTGTGTGAGGGACGACACAGAAAGGAAGAGCACTGCCTCTGTTGTAGAATGGGGTTTTGCGTTCGTACATGTGCATTTTTTGCTGGGAAAGGGCACTAACAGTTACTGCTGTAGAAGACTTCAGTTCTCCTGCAAGATTTGAACTCACTACCATGAGAATGTGAGCCAAGTGCTTTGCCAACTATAAGCTGTCCATGTTTTTTCTTTTAAATTATTTATATAAGACTGAGCTTTTGTGGTATCAAACACTTTGCAAGAGCAGTCTTTGGCACGGTGTGTGAGAGAGCGGTCGCACACTACGCCCTTCTCGTTTTCCTTAGAAGGCCTATCACACATTCTGTGCTTACCAGTCTTTGTCATCATGGTTAAGCTTGTATTAATTTTCAATAAGATGACGGTTACCTCTGAAACTTTGGCATCTGGCTCGGCCCCCTAGGGCTCCATTTGAGCCTCTATATCAGCGATTAGCAGAAAAGTAGCACATAACTCGCAAGGCTAGAAAGAGCTTGGCCTTGGTACATTGTAGCACATAACAGGAAAGCATGGCTCACTTTTCCACTCTGGATTGGGATCAGCAGCAAATGTGTAGTAGATGGGACCGATAATCTCGTTCATGCCCTGCAAAGAAAAACACGCGTGTCAGGGAGAAAAAGTTTTATTTCTTACAGCCACAAACTCTACCCGACGGTGGGCTCTCGTAAAAAAAAATTAAATGCTTTTTCACTTTCTTTCGCTGAAAAATATTGGGAGGGGAGTGATTGGGCCGAAGTGCCTTTGTCTAGAAAAATCCCAATTTGTATTGATCCATGATAATCAAGATGAATAGTGCAGCATCATTTATAAAAATCGAGGCTGCTTCTAAAACAAGCCAAGAAAAATTACTGCCTGCACATAAAGAGCTCAATCATTCCTCAAAGGCATATCTGAATACTGGATTTTACCTCACAAAATTTAGAGAAATAGTAGCTCCCTCCGTTCCTGTAAACCAGGGGTTCTCAAACTGGGTTCCGGGGAACACAGGGGTTCCACGAGCTGGTCTCATGGGTTCCGCAAACACCCAGATTGCAACCCCCCCCCCTCCACCGCCGCAGGCTGTGTGGCAGGACCATGCAAAGCGCCTTCATCTCGCTTTGTACTGACATTGTGATTGATATGGTGGGGATATATGGGAAGCAACACAAGCAAAATTGCCTACAATTGTGCATCTGCTGCTTCTCGGTCGGCAAATGTGGAGGGGGGGGGGGGGGGTAGGGTTCGCGGCAGTTTTTGAGACTTCCTCGGGTTCCGTGAGACCAAAAAGTTTGAGAACTCCTACTGTAAACAATTAGAACCTCCTCCTTTAGATTTTTTACCAAGGGCAACCGAGTTGCTGAAGCGTCGTGCTTGTGGCGCCATCCCCCACAGACGTAGTAAACACTTGGTCGAAAGCAGACGACGCAGTCGAGAGCTGTCCGCTACAAATCAAGTATTTGCTATGCGTTTCAGGAGATGGCAATTCAGTCTATGTCGGCACAACTCACCGAAAATGTCGAGCACTCTGTTCTGTTAACAGCAGAAGGCTATCAATTCGAGCACATAACAAAGTGCAGAACGGCAGAAGAGATGAAAAGAGACAGGAAGGGAGAGAGACACACCTGCACATATCCCAGGCCAGGGTTGAGCTTGGCATACAGGAAGAGGATTCGCTCCACAACCTCCCAGTGGGCCTCCTGCCCCTGGGGAAGCCGTTCGTACTGCGCTGGACGTCCCGCATTTAGGGATATCTGCACAGAAGCCGCCACAAAGTTAAGAGTACAGCTTAGGCGAAGGCAGCAGTAATTGTGCAATGTTCTCGTCATATTTCACTCAAGAATCTTCCATTCTTGCCACTTCTTCCATTACGCACACCTTTGGTAGTCAAAGGGTATCTATGTGAATCACAACTTTGGATTGGGTTAGTTGGTTCAGTAAAACCTGGAGGACTTAAAAGTGCAGAAAACACAGACAAGGATGAGACACAGACATTAATATAGTCTTCTATCTGCATTCAATTCATAATCAATGTAATCAAAACTTTAGACTCTTGTACACTCATGTTGGTGATGTCCTTACGTAAGCGTATCATATTAAATGCGCAATATTCGCTTCATATCTAACTCGGGAATTTGCTGTTTTTTACACTTCTATTATGTCCACCTTCAACATTTAAAATCAGTCTTTTCTATTATCAGTATTCTATCCGTATTTGATTCATATTCAACTTGTAATCGACTTGTATTCTATCGATATTAAAAATCTTAGACTCAAGTATACAGTCATGTTAATGATGTGTGACCTTGTCCTAATAAATGTGAAATATTCACCTCGTACCTACTTGAGAATTTGCTATTCTTGCAACTTGCCTTCAGTACTTCAAGTTAGTTTTCTACTTGCAGTACACTCCCATTAAAACAAACTCGCTTTAGTTGAATTCTCGAATAAGCTGAACAACATCTTAATGCTTGGGAGAAGAGCGTGTTGGTTTAAGTCATGGATGAAGAAAGAATAAAACAATTAAAACAGGGACAACACAACCACATCTTTGAAAGATGTGGTTGTGTTGTCCCTGTTTTTAATTGTTTTATTCTTTCTTCTCCATAACATGTGAATATTTAGCTGGTTTCCCACAAATGCAAGGCAAAACATATTTGCCTACTTAAAAGGTTAAAACAGCGCAAAAAACGATGGACAGGGTAAATAAGGACACAGACAAAGCGCTGTCAGTGTCCTTTTTTACCCTGTCTGTCGTTTTTTGCACTGTTTTAACCTTTTAAGTATGTCATACCAACTCACCCAAGCTTCAACTTTAGCAATATTTGCCTAACATGAACTACATTGATTGCACATTTTGGTTAACTCAAACTTCCGAGGTGCAGCGCACCACGGTGGTGCGACACTTGCCACAGTGCCACATAAAGAATGGGCGTATACTGGGGGAGGGCATGAAGGAAACTTCAGCGTTCATAACTGCATAACTGCAGGGGGGAGGGGGGAAACTAAACAGTGAATGCACAAACAAAGTGGAGGCACATGCATGCAGACAACAACAAAAATGCATAGAGTGGGGGAAGAAAGGAACTAAAAAGAGAAAGGGGGAGAGAGAGAGAATGACTTAAAAAGAAAACATGGAGTTGGTGGGGAGAGGACCGAGAAGTGGAAGAGAACAGGCAGAGCATAAAAAAGCTCCCGCTCTCTCCAGCCTTTGAGGTCCCTGGGTGGTTTCAGCGGTTTCGCTCACATCTCACCTTGGGGAGGGTTCGAGCAGTTTCGAGTTTCAGTTGCTGCTCTTTGTTTGTACTGGATGTGAGAAGAGATTGCGCTATCAATCAGCTCAACCACAAAGAAAGTTTGGAATTGTAGACGGGATAAAGGGGGCTAAGTTGTCAAAGACAGCAATCGTGGGCAGGCGAGTTCCGCATTCCAAAGAGCATGTTATCAGGTATCCAGGTACGGTCAAAGATGGGAAAAGAATCCTGGACACCTTCAAGGCCAATGGCTCCCGCCAAAACGGAAGAGGATGCGCACGACTGCGCATAAGGAGTTGGAATCCCTTCTTTTTGCATGGATCCAGCAAGCACAGGGTGCGGAGTGCGAACTTGCCGTGAATAGGACTGAGCTATGTGAAACAGAGCTATGTTTCTTTTTATCATAAATGGTTTTCGAGACAATAACGTTTGCAAATGCTGCGTGAAACTGAGTAATGTTTCTTTTTATCATAAGAAGCTAAATAAATATTTGTTTCAGACAGTAACTCTAATTAAGACATATCCAGTAAGATATTTTGGTCACTTCTGTTAAGCTGCACTTCTGATAAGCCGAAACATTTTGAAGGTCCACTCCAGTTTGCCTCAACCGTATCTGTGTTCAATTGGCCATTGAGGGTCTCCTGTATATCTATTCAACTCTTATTTGATTTTTATTCGACTCCTATTCAATCAGTATCTGATCCATACTTGAGTTGTATTTTATCCATATTTGAGTGCACACTCACGTTGGTGATGCCCATGCGAGAGCGTGTCACATTGGCCGAGTGCAGCATGGTGCGCTGCACCCTCTCCCTCAGGCTCTGCACGCCAGGGTCCTGGGTGATCCGCTCACAGGGATGATCCGTGGCACGCTGGAAGAAGCACATGTCCGGGCACAGGCGCCTGCGCACAAGATGACGCTCCACATCGCTCCTCCGCCAGAGGTCACTGGTCCAAGACCAGTCACCGGCACACGGAGAATCGGGACACCGGAATATTCAATCGTACAAAGAACAATATCTATCCTGAAAACAAGATGTACATTTATGTTGAATTGAAGATGGAAAGCATTATGATTCATGAACTAAATGTCCACTAAGTATGGCAAATTCACAATTCCACTAGCTGATACTTTGCGAGCGATTTTGTTTCCGACACTAACGCGGGTTTTGAGATGATGTCCCATTGGGCGCGTTCAGTAGCGGCCCCGGAGTCAAGGAGTCACTGACTCCTTCCACTGGACGGCCAGAAGTCACTTCCGGTGCACGTACCTAACTCCGGGGCTTCGGAGTCAAGCTCCGAAGCACCGAGTCCGGAGACGGTGCACGTAGAGTCAAAGGAGCTAAAATGACGTCATTTCCTGACTGGTGACGATTTCCGGCGCTAAAAGAGTAAAAAACAAACAATATGGCGGGATAAGCTGCTTCGGTTCTGTAGCGGGTGCGCGGTTTGCTCGCTTTTGTTAATGAAAAGTGCTCAAGGTAAGACGAATAACGCGTTCGAATATCTTTTTGAGGTAAGGCTCTTTCGGAAAATGCATTGGACCGTATTTTGTTTGGTTTGAATATGCTAATAAACAACGCAAACGTTCATTTGACGAGCCGTCTCTTGATCGCCGTTGCACGGAAACTCGGTAATATTGACGATAGTCCTGTCCGCGCTCAACAGAGAAAAACAGGGTATGAACGCGGCTTTGGAAGCCGGTTGGACACTCACGCAGAGCATGATACCGATTAATGTTTTGTTTGCGTAGCTAAATCGGGGTGCACGTTGGCTGAGGCTCGCTTCGGCCGACAAAACCTTGATCGCCGAGCGCGGCCGAACTTCCCGTCTGTATACAAATACATTTTATAGGAAGTTCGTTACGAAGGGCAGAACAAACTTATGACCGTATAAAAGTATCGCAACCGGCAGGGTAGATTCGCTGAGCTCGGTATTTTGCGTGTACTGACGACGATTTTTGTCGGCTTTTATAACAGTAGCTGACTTTGCACCGCCAAGCGAGAGGCTCGATCGCGTTGCATCGCTTCGAACAGCAGCGCTGATGTGTACAATCACTCGCTTTTTCTTTAACGACCTTGTAAAGACTTCTTCAATACCGGCGTCAAATAAAAGCGATCGTGCTCGCCATCGTCTGCTTCCAGTTTATTCGGAGACCGTCTGGCACAGGGGAGGAAGCGGAAGTTGCGTAGAAGCAGGTTTGGAGCCGCGGGTTTTTTTGCCGTTCAGTAGGCGCTCCGATGACTCCAACTCGAGGCACTCCGTTCGGAGGCAAGGGAGGCGCTACTGAACGCGCCCATTGCAAGAAACATTCAGTGTCGCTGATGAGACATATGCATCGCGTGTTTGTCTCGACCTGTTTGAATCTGTTTCGCCTCTTTTGCCTGTTTGACTTATGGGATTAATTTGTTAAGAATGCCGACACAAACACAACATATTCTGCATGAATCTGATTTATGCAAAGCACCAAGGCACGTTCAGATTTCTGCTGCAACATGAGCACATAGTCGCTGTAACAACACTCATACAAGTTCTTTGGCTGGTGCAGGGGTAGATCACCAGAATACAGAACAAGAGGTTTGGGTTTCAGTTCCTGGAAAGGGGCAAAGTGTTTCTCGTAAGGACACCTGGTGGGTGCCGAGGGATGCTTGGCCATGCTATCATATTTTTGTAACAACTTTTTGCGATGCTCTAGACGAGGGGTAGCCAAGCTGACCCGGCCTAAGAGTCGCAAACAAAACCACGAAACTTCCAAGAGCCGCAGGGGGGGGGGTGCAAACTTTTGTCCAGAGCAATAAACGAAACTCGAACTACTTTCAATCTATCTGAGTCAAAAGCAGTCCAAGTGTACAAAAGGTACCAGTAGCACCAGACTACTAAACCACAACCTGTCTTTCGAATAAACGCAATCCATTTCTCTTTTCGCGGAAGTGCTCGTATGACCGGGAGGGAGGCGGGGGAGTGTGTGTGTGTGTGTGTGACTGTGTGTGTGTGTGTGTGTGGGGGGGGGGGGGGTTAGCCGTGAGCTGCAGCTTGGCCACCCTTGCCCTAGACTTAGGAACCAGTCCTGAAATGCATTCAGTGTTAAATCACCTGGACAGGTAATAGTATGAAAATACATCTCTTGTTTGATGCAGGGAACAGCGCATTCCTGCGTAGGGTACACATTTAGTAGCCCTCAGTACCAAGGCATACTTCGAACTGTATCTCGAATATTGATAATTCATTCTCTTAAAAATTTTACCATGAACACTCGCATGCACAATCTAAGAAAAGTTCAGTTCCGTGCACGCGAGGAAAAGTAAGTTTAATTCTGGGAGTTAATGTGGCCTAACCAACGAAGGACACCTGGCACGCTCTCGCCCAAGGAGTGGGGAATAATTTCGACAACCTTAACATCTCCTGACATCAAACAGTCAAAGTATGAATTTTCATTCTTATCGTCTTATTCATACGCACATACGATTCTCCGAGTAAATGTGAAGCCTTCGAGGCCTCTTGAACATTATCAAATATAATAAAAGCCTCATCTACAATTACTTTGGTTTTTATTGGTCAATTTATCTTTGCACTACATTGGATACTGCCAGTCATCAGTCCCTGAAATGCATACCGCTTGCTGTGGCTCTGAGCAATTTACCATTTTGGCAAAAGGATTGTAAGACAAGGACACTTTTCACCTCGTCGATTAAGGTCAAAAGTAGGGGTGTGCGAATACTCGAATACAGTTGAAACCCGTTTTTATAAATTTCGCGATTTAACGAACAAATTTGGATTCCCCCCGCAGTTGCCTATAGGCTTAATGCTTTTACGAACTCGAAATAACGAAACAAACTTCGCCACCAAACCCGATTTAACGAAGCATTCCGGGAAAAAAGGTGCATTGAAAAAGAGGTTTTTCCAAATTTATGGCGTCTAGAATGTCTGGCAGTGTGCTGCCGGCGTAGGAGCAGTACAATTGACGCAGCGGATGCATTCTCGTTTTGGTTCTTACGAAACTACAAACCGAAACCACACGGAACTACAGACTGCGCATTTCTTTCAAGGCTTTGGATCAGTTCCACCAGATGGCAAAAGCGGCGGCTGGAACTTGATCTCGCGTGCGACAGATGGCAGCAGTGACAATCTTTAGCTCCCTCCGTGCCTCCACTGCTTTCGTCACGACCGGTTTCCACCCGATCGCCCGTGTCCTTCAGCTCTTCGCGCACGTTAGTTTTCATTCTTCTGCTTTGCTCTGCCCATTCTGCGTCGTCGAAGGATGGAGCTTCTGAAGAAGAAAAGGAAAGTACTGACCCCTGAAGAAAAGGCGAACATAATCAGTGCTGTTGTGAGCGGATGAAAAAAATATGACGTGGCCGCGGAACACTGCATCTCGGCGAGCATGCTTTCGTCCATCTTGAAGGCAAAGGACGCCATCATCCTTGTGACTTCCTCTGGGAACGCGTCCAAGAAAAAACACCTGAAGACGACCCCGCATGAGAAGCTGGAGGAAGCCGTCTTTATGTGGTTTAACAACATGCAAGCAAGAAACGTTCCACTCAGCAAGGAAGTGGTGCAGCAAAAAGTGCTTGGTTACGCGTGTTTGTTCGGCTTTGAAGAGTTCAAGGCAACTCCCGGCTGGCTCTCGAGCTTCAAAGAGCGCTACGGGATTGTTGGCAAAGTGTCGAGCGGGGAGCCATCCAGCGTGAACAAGCAAGGAGCCGACGAGTGGTTGTCGGAGAACGTGCCGGAGATCCTGGGGAGGTACGCCGTGCAAGACGTCTACAACACTGACGAGAGCGGTCTGTTTTATCAGATGCTGCCGGGCAACACGCTTGCTCGGAAGGGGAGCCTTGCCACGGCGGAAAGCAGAGTAAACAGCGACTTACGCTGTTGCTATGCGTCAACATGAATGGCAGCGATAAGCGCGATCTGCTCATCATTGGAAAGGCCCAGAATCCTCAGTGCTTCAAAGGAGTTAAAAAACTATTGGCGGAGTATATCTGTCGAATATAAAAGCCTGGATGAGCCGCGCGAACTTCTCGGAGCGGCTAAAAAGCTTCGACGACGACATGGGCGCCAAAGGAGGAATCTGTGTCTGCTGTTGGACAATTGCACGGCGCACCACATCCCGGAGCTTCACCTGAAGAATGTGCAGTCGTGGTTCTTTTCCCCAATGCGACTTCCGTTATTCGGCCCCTAGATCAGGGGATCATCAACAGTGTGAAATGCAATTATCAGTGATGTGATTGGCCTAAGACTTTTTGGAGCACCTTTTGGAGCAGCCAAAACAGTGTTTTGGAGCAGCAAATGTGGCTTTTGGAGCAGCCAAAGCAGTGTTTTGGAGCAGAAAAAGTGACTTTTGGAGCATATATCTTAAAAAAAAATAAAAATTTGTTTTAAAGGGACACTGACAGGGTAATTATGCTCGCCGAGGTTTTTAGTTGTACGTGACATATGAGAGCTCAACTACTCAGAACAGAATTTCCGGCTCGAAATTCGGTTTCTTTCCGCCCGAAAACCGCCGGTCAAGAACTGGCCGGTTCGAGTCTCGCTCACTCTCTTTTTCGCGGTCACGGGCCGTTTTCTAAGGTATCGATGCGACCACCAAATTTAATCAAAGTCGTGGGTCACTGAAGGCACACACTCAATATTAAAAATAGAAAAAAATATGAAACCCGTTTTTTGTGGCTTCTAAAAAGCTGTAAATACGTCGATTGAAGAAAAAACGTTCCACAGACAACCGGAAGCAATCTGTGCGTTCGTCGTTTTGCGTATCGTGGGACTCGCGGGGACGGCGATGGCAGCGGACGACGGGCGTGGGACCTCTATTTCAGAACTGTCGTTCGCGGTACCGGCGAATTCTGTCTGCCTTTAAAAGAGAAATTTGGGACTGATCAAAAGAATTGGTATTCATCCCGTAC